CTTCTTTTTTTTCAATTCTTCAATGTATTCAGTTTGCTTCTTGAAAGCCGCTCTCTCCTGGTTTTCAATTGTCTTGGCAACCAGGACGTAGTCGTAGGACATGCGTAGAGTGTGCTTAGAGACACAAATGATATGATTTTATGGACCTCTATAAATCAGAGTGGGTAAAACGTAGTCTCACAGTGGACACATGAAATCCTCTTACCACCGGAGGGAGTGAAGTCTGTTCGCTGCCATTCTCTTTCACCACTCCCATTAGTTCCAGTAGTTCAATACTGGGCTGTAGAATAAAATCATAATAATATTCGGAAATAAACAAGGAAGAAATCACACAATGCTAGAAAACACATATGACTAAATGTTCAAAATTGACATAAACAGCTTGAGTGACATATCTAATATGATCTAATATGATAAGGTTACATTCATTTATCACCCGCTCGTGAATATGTGCCTAAAGGTCATTATCTCTAAAAGAATCCTGAACAACTATGACATGGGGGTGTGTCGATGAATGCCAGGGTTCTGACAGCAGAGAGAAACCTGTGGTGATCCTGACTCACTGACAGCGAGGAGGCTTCGATCTAACCTGACTGAAACAATGAGCCCTGTTATTCTCACTTGCAGAAGAGTCTGCACATTGTTACATGTAGGCCCCAAACACTGAAGGTGTGGCTGACATGTAGAAATCCACACAGTAAAGGACACTCACACATCCTGGACATCACATCCAATACAGATGGAAACATGCAGTCCTGCTTTATGAGGGGGGTTCTGATCTCTCTACATTCAACTGGCAGCTCACGTGAAAACATGACAAGCAACTTAACACAACAGCTCCACAGGTAGCTGGTCTCAGAGCAGCTCCACGTATGTGACCTACTCCTGCTGTATGTTGTGTGTGAGTGTGATCACCTACCTGCCTCCTGTGGGTGGGCATGACGAGAAATGCAGATAGAGGCGACTTCTCGGATAAAGAGGAAAAGAAAAAGAAAGAGAGAAGCTTCGGTCAACCATTCACTCAGTCATGTCATACACCGTAAAATGACATGATGGCTCTGGTGGACTTCCGCACTTCCTTTAGAAACGAGCGTGTTGTCGTTTCACAAGCTGAGGAATGTGAAAGCGACTCCACCTGTTGCGGGTGTCACAGTCAGTGTGTGTGTGTGTGTGTGT